AAGGATCTACATATAACCTCCTCCCTGGGGAACAGACAACAGAAAAGTGGGTGAAGGGACAACAGAAAAGTGGGTGAAGGGAGACGTTGGACAGTGTAAGATATGACAAAATAATGATAGTTTATAAATTATCAAGTGTTTATAAGTGAGGGGGGCGAGGGGGAGGAGAAAATGAGGGCTTGAGTGGAAAGCAAATGTTTTGAGACTGATGAGGGCAACGGGTATACAAATGTGCTTGACACAACGGATGGATGTATGGATTGTGATGAGCCTCCAATAAATGATTTTTTTTAAATGACTTTCAAGATGGGAACTGCTCGAATTGTAGACCAGCAGTCCATAAAATGGTCTAGAGGGCATCAATCCACTCAAGCAAATAATGAAAACTGAAATAGCAGAAAGAATAATATTTTCACCTGATTTTACATCTTTTTCATTTTTAGGCTATTTAGGAACTGAAAAGGAAGGTAATTAACGGAAAACCCAGGCTTGGTCACAATACTTGAAAAGCATAAAAGATTCAATTTACGACTTTCTTGACTGCTGATTATTATAAACTATGCCTGGTTGATCATTTGTCTCAACAAGTATGACAATTCCCTTTAGCTACTTGGCTGTCATTTTGAAACACTTGAGTTCTGGGAAATGCTTAGAGAAAAAGTCAATTTAAAATAAAAATAGATCCTTATGTGGGAACATCATAAAGCCACCCTGGCACAGGTTATAGGTACAAGCAGTGATCGCTATCAAAGCTATGTGAGAGATTGTATGCTGGAATGTTTACTCTGACATTCTGAAAATGTACCCAGATGTATTTTAACACTGGCATTTTCCTTCACCAGGTGAGAGAATGGTGGCAATATTTACCACACACCTACACATGTTTACTTACGTGTTATTTTGACTCACTTTGTCCTTCCCCACCTCTGCAGAGTGGGAAAGTCCTAACAAATGTAGAAGCCACTGATCCTCTTAGGACAAAGACTTCAAGCACCAAAACCTTTGACACAACACTGAGCTTTTGTGCAGTACTCATTTTCCAAAAATATTCCTCAACTCATTTAGGAAGAAATGACACAGGAATATGTATCCTTTCACTTAGAATTAGAATTATCTTGGCTTCTTCCAAAAGGAATACACCTTGACTATAGGAACCGTCACATTTCACATATGCAAAACAAAAAACAAAAAAAAACCCACTTCTTGTGGTAAGAGAAGGCTCTCAGAGGTTAGCAGAACACAATTCAGTATACAACAAATTTATTACGTGACAGGATAGTCTGTCATACACCTCCCCCAAAGGTTTTTTTTTCCATTACATACTTTTATTGGGGACTCATACAACTCTTATCACAATCCATACATACATCCATGTGTCAAGCACATTTGTACATATGTT